GGGCACGATTTCCGTTTATTCTTCTCAGAATGGTTTTTATCTGTTTGGGGCTTGTAAACATGTAGTTTTGTTCTTTTGTCAATTGTGGGGTCTCGGCAACAAGAGTCCGGGCTATTATATCATGTTTATAATATTCCGCTAGTCGTTCTGCTTGTTGTTCCGGTGATAGAATTTTGTCCCCGTCATGTAGTCTGATGGTCGATGACTTTGTCGTTGCACTTTTGGTGAGTTTCCAAAACTTGTTAACGTCACTGTGAGTTGCATGCAATTGGTCGTGCCACATGGCTGTCTTCCATTGCCGTAAGAGGTTTCTGATTTGGGTGGTGAGGGCGTTGAGGGCTGTTTTGATGTCTGGGTCTCTTGTGCGGTACCATCTATTTTTAGTATGTGCCGGTTTTCAATTAGTGTGAGGATGTGCGGCGGAGGTGATCGGAGGTGTGGTGGTGAGGGGTAGTAGGTGGGGATAGTCTGTGTTGCTGCCTCGAATACGATTTCTGTGAAGTCTTCAATATAGCTGTCTGCTTGTTCTTTAGTGTGTAGGGAGGGCATCTTCGGTAGTCTGTGGTATACTTCATTTTTATATTTTTTTCAATCCGCATTTTGATATCTGAACTTTTTCTTCATGGGTTCTTTTGGTCTTCCTTGGACAGTATAGTGTACCGGTCGATTGTCCGAAGAGAGAAAGTTCAGGGCAGAGCATTCCGAAATTCGGCGTGGTTGTCGCGTGAGAAGAAGATCTAGTGTGGAGGTGGCCCCACTTCCGAAATGGCGGAAAGTGTGGGAGTCAGGGTGTACAACTGTGAATGGTGTTTTTGTGATTATTTTCCCTGCTTCGTTTGTGTTGGGGTTATGCCAGTGGGTGTGCCTGGCGTTGAAATCACCCACTAGCCAGTGGTTTGTTCTGTCCGCACATTTATTGAGAAATAATTTCATTTCATCTGTGGACTCGCGTGGTCTTCTGTAGTAGCCTGTGATTTAAGTGGGCTGCTTCATCAAAATTTGCACCGTAACATGACTAATTTTTCTGTCGCAAGTCGTCCTGGGCTTTGGCATTTTCTTCCACTGGATACCATGGCGCACCGCAATCATCACCCCTCCATGCGGGTCATGGGTATTGTCTGTGGTGGTTGAATAGCCAGTAAAGTGTGGTGGTCTTCCCTGCAGCCTGGTATCTGTGAGGACAGCCACGGTAGGTTGTGTTAAGGCCAATAGTGCTTCTATTTCTTCAATTTTTGTACTGATGCCACAGCAATTGTAATTAATTACTGAGAAACTATTCATGGATTGGTTGAATTGGTTGAATGCCAAGGTCTGGTTAATACGGGTATGGTTGTCGCCTTTGGAGTCTCTTCCGCTTTTGTTTTTAACTGTCTTCGTTTTGTTATGTTTTCCTCTAATTCTCGTCTGACTGGGCATCCTCTGTAAGATGCTACGTGGGCTCCTTCCCAGTTTATGCATTTGGGCTCTGTAGTTCTTGGGCACTGAGCTATAAGATGTTCCCCACTACATCTTACACACATTGGTTTATGTCCACAATAATTTTTGGTGTGACCGAATCTTTGGCACCGGAAGCACTGAGGTGGTGTTATCTCTTTCCTGTGCTTGTATATCTCTACGTGGAAGATACACCTATTTACATGCTTCACCGTTGCTATATCTTTTAATGATATTGACAATGGCACGGTGACTACTATCGGTGTTAGGGTGGTTTTGGTGCCGTCAGCTGCTGTACGCTGCAATCTTCTTAAATCGATGATATTAAGATGTTGCATCGCCTTTTTAACATCCGTCAGTGGGATGGTTGTGTCTAATTGTTTTATTATGAATTTGCTTGGTGGTTTCCGGTCTGAATTTGCGGAGTATGTGTGGAATCCTATGCCACAGTTGTCTAAGTGTTTTCTTAGGGTTGGTAAATCAGAGGCAGACTCCAATAATATTCTTGTGTCTTTTCTTGTGAACTGGATTAAGTAGTTTTTTTATTTTTACCTTGGCCATGAATGTTTGCAGTTCTTTGATAGTGTATTTTCTTGTAATCACTACAGGCGGAACTGTTGGCTTCTTTGAGGTGGTTATATTATCTTCCATATTTTCTTGTGCAGGTTGGGTGGCTAGGACGGCATACTGATTTGAGGTTGTAATTGCAGGCGGCTTCTTATAGGCCTTCTCCTTCGACCTCTGAGAGCGACGCAATACGTCATTCCATTCTCCGCTAGTGGCGCCTTCTAAATCGGAATCCTCATATGGTGGTAGAGGCGCTCTTTGTGCTTCGTCCGAATGTGGCATTTTCGTCTGAATAGTCCTGGTCAGAAATAAATATGAATCGGCGACACTGGTTACCTGTCACCGGCTACACGCAATGTAACCGGTTACAAAAGGACACTGTCTAACTTAATTCGACTGTCTAAGCGAAATATTGTTTTAACTCGTATTAACGAATCACTGTTCTCACTCGAATCACTCTCTAATAACTTCACATAGTACAGGAGTACACAAAAACGAGGAGTAAACAAACAAACAAAAAACCGTTAAAAACCGTTAGGACACGACGTACACTGGTTGCTGGTTGACTCTCGACTGTTCGTTGGAAATCAATTAAAGCAAATACCATTTTTATAATGGATGAAGGCACTTTCCGCACCAATGAGAAGGACTTTTAAGATTGACCATAAATATGACACTTCCGCAAAACCTGACGATGCACAAGGTTGAGCACATTGAGAGGATGGAGAACCACCAAGTATATGGTGCAATCAAGCAATTGAAAAAACTTAAGATTCTGCAACTGACGGGTTGCCTGCAGAACTCCGACTTCAACCATTCCGAAAAAAACTTTTCAATACCTTTCAAAATATCGTTCTCACTATCTGGTGAGAGAAAACAATCAGCCGCCTTGATAAAAACAATTATGTACAGATGATCAACTGAGGAACACAAACAACCATGAAATATATTTACTTACTGTTGTATTCAAAATATTCTACAAAATTCTGTTTCACTGATTTCTTCCTGCTATTGAATGTGAGATTGGCTTTATGCGATTAAAGTCAGGGACAGGTCACATTTTTAATTTGCGGACCATCATAGATAGAAGGCTAAATACTGAACAAAATTTTTTCAATTTTCGCCCAAGTTGGCGCCTTTTAATTTTGGCCTTCCCAATTTTGGCCTTTTCCCAGTCCGCTGGTGTTCCTCAATAGGTCCTACGCTTTACACAGTTTATACAGCTGACATCCCAACACTGTCATTATCACGTATGCCGATGATACATGTGCCCTAACCGTTAATAATGGCCCAACCATTGCATCCCAATCAAACATCACAAATCTTGAAGAATGGTGTCAAAACTGGAGGATTAAAATAAATTCCAATAAATCCCATCAAATAACCTATACACTTCGCCGTAAACCTATGGCCTCCTGTCATACAGTATTGTTTAATAATACCCAACTTATCCCTGTTGAACAAATCCGATAACTTGGACTCCACTTGGACAAACGTTTAACTTGGAATCCTCTCTTCAGAAAAAAAATGTGTCGCTATACACTGTAGCCCCAAAACGGCTTTATCGATTTTAACGAAACTTGGCTAAAGTCTTCCTCTTGAAACCCTTTTAATTTATGTATACAACATACTTTTCCGAAAAGAAGCTGAAACAATGTTACGATGAATTCAATATTTTATTTGCCAATAGCTAAAAAAGTACATTTCATGATGATACATTTCAAATATTTGATTTGCTATAATTTAAAAAGATTTAACTCTTGAGTAATATTTATCATGTTTCTTTTAGAAATAAGTTTTTTATTGATTTCAGTTTATTTTATTTTTTAATCAATTCTTTTCTCTAGCATTATGTTGGAATAAGGTTGTACCGTTTACCGTAGGATTTCTTTCATGAGTATGGTTTATTTTTCCACTACAATTTTTACAACTCTATATTTAATCAAGTTGTTATTAAGAAGAAGCAAACAATTAACTATCTTAGGAGGGGTATGCCAAATCATTTGAGGGAGGTGGAAGGCAGCTCTAATGCACACGAAATGAACGCTATGGTAAATGGTATAGCGTAATTTCAACGCATTGCCATGTTTGATATTTGAAAATCTTTATTTAAAATAGAAACATTGTCGTGAAATATTTTGAACCGCATGTGTTGCTTTTACATCCAACTGATGGTGCGTTTTTGATAAATATGTATAGTTTCACCTTATATTTTACAATAGTAGATATATTAAACCACGCCAGTATTTAAGCCAAAATTTCAAGGCAATGGGTGAAGAACTTTCTGAGATTTAATAGTTTAAACAACCAAACATTTACATTTTTATTTGCAATAAAATAATCAACACAAAGTTGATCATTAAATATTAAAAATAATAATAATAATAAAATTAAATATGAAAATATATGAGTGGCTCTATATGAAAGGACTATTTTCTGCCATTTTTAGAAAGCGTAGATAAAATCAATTTTAGTTTTATAAGTTCAACTCAGGCTGTTTCTGATGATCAAGAATGACGGCGTATTCACTCAGATGATTACGAATGTTCAATTTGAATCATGAAAAAAAAATCATTAGAATTAGTTTTAATTGAAGCCATTTTACAGATGAATTTATTTCCCAACTTTTGAAAAATGACTGATGTCCTTTGGTATTAATCCACTCCAAAGTTCTTAAGTAATTGAAGAGCCTTTTTGTAGCTAGTTTCTTTTTATTATTTTGAGGACTTGAATATATATCTCCTTCAACATCTTTACATGTTAGGTTTTGTAAACAATAATAAATAGGTTAGCATATTTTTTTTTTTACTTTTCTTTATGTAGTTATTTTACATTTTCTGTCACAATTAAGCACATGAGTAATGATGATAAAAGAGTTCATCTTATAAAAACAAAATAAAGTTTACAATGTTAAATAAAACCTAAGATCTTCATTTAAAACCAAAATTGAGTAACATGTTGATTATTTATATTTATTGATTTTATACATTTAAATATACTCATTTTATGTTATCTCTGTAATTAATGCTCTTCCAAAACTTATATCTATCTTTAGCAAATCCTTCTTTTTGTTCGAAGCCTGAATTGCTCATCTCTAAGTAGTTATGCTTACTAGGATTCCATTTTGACCAGGACAGATCACTTCCCCTTGGAGCCGGATTCCTGTTACAAGTTAAAATTTTTACCATCAACAAGTGTGTAATACAAGTTTTAGGGGTATACCATTGATACATTATATGAACTGAAGTAATAGACAAATTCACTTACCCAAACTTGGCGAAATCAGTCCAAATCTTAACAAGCCTTCTTGAGAACTGTAAATCATCTCCTTCATGGGTCCAATTGAGAAAAGGGTTTTTCCATATGAAATTTATTTCTTCAGTGTGGGGAGCGCCTGTTATAACATTACAAAAAATATATTCTATTTCATTATTTACCTTAAAAGTCTATCACACCCATAATTGTAACACAATGTGGCTTTCATCAAATCGAGATTTGATTTTCAAAGAGCTAGATAAAGATTACTGGTTATGTTTATAAGTTCAACATTGCCATATTTATGCGAGATCTTAAAAAGCATTGAGAGAGTTAAAAAAAAAAACTAGAAAAGTTCTGTCTTGAAATTTTCTAAAAAGACTAAAAGGTAAAAAGTCTAACTTTGTTGATTTTTATTTTATTATAGTATTTGTATTATTCCAACTATATTGTCCGAGTAAAAGTATAATAAATAAGCTAGAAGAGTAATAAGAAGTGCAACACTTTAAATTAAAGATTGACCACCTTATCTATTGTACATAACAAGAATTTAAAAACAATATGGGTAAAAACCTAAATAAAGTAAGAGAGTATTACTGAAATCGTCCTCAAACATATATATTTTATCTTCTTTTTTCGTTTTTAGAAGTAATCATTGCCAAATAACTAAGAATATATACTTAATTAAGATTATCACTTAAGTAGAAAATCATATTCAATGAATTCAGCTCTTGTTATTCTTGTTATTATATTATAATATGTACAGTGTGATAATTATTATTTTTATTATAATATAATATGTATTTACCAAAAAACAGTGTGCGATTGGTACTTTTCCACCATGTGTTTTCTCCTACGTAATCATAGTAATAGAAGTAAACATCACCTTCGTGATAGTTGGCACCATCTATGATCCCGATTGCAAACCAACTGTCTGTGTACAACTATAAAAAAATAAATAAACTTAAAAAAAAAGCTCTGCCAATAATTATGAAAGTACTATAACAATATTACTATGATGATAGTTTATTAGTTATCCACTCACATGACTTCTCCTGCCGCCTTAAATAAGAGACCATCACGAGAATTGTTTATTTTACCATCGCTGATATTAACTGAATTTGTTTTGTTTATTTTTGGTACTGCAGATAATTAAATTACCTTTCTAATGAGCATTTAGAACACACTAGCAATGAACACAGAAATATATATATAGAACACACTTATATATATATAAGATAAAGACCGGAGACTGGCGATATCAGCCTTAATGCCATCCTGAATGTAAATAAACATCCCAAATGTATATAAGAAGGATTACTAGATGAATAAAGCAGTGTCTATTCAGAAGCCGTGAGTGTTGTATCTCTACCCTTTCCTTTCTTTTTTTTATTGTTATAGTCCGCCGACGCTTAACTTATATATAATATATATATATATATATATATAATATATATATATATATATATTTGATGTTCAAAAATACTGTTATAGTGGTTTGCATGCATAATACTTGACAAAATATGTACACAAAGTTCCAAACGTTATAGAATATAACGTTTGGAATTTTGAACCTAACTATAAAATACACAGACAGGCAAAAAATTCCACCCAATTGATTTTTTCATGTTTTCATCTAAAAATGTTTCTGCTTTGGATTGGTCTACTGTTTTTATTGAATAAATAGGTAATCTTTTTGTTAGTTTTCAATTAGAAATGTTAATATAGAGGACAATAACTCTTAATCCCTAATTCAATGAAATGATTCTAGATTCTAATGTTTACTTTCTATGGAATCAAAATGTTTATTCAGTATCATTAGTTCAGTTCCGTTTCTTGCAGCACATTTCTTAGTCTCTGGCTTTTAATTTTTTCAACATTAAGTTTAAAAATGCGTCTTAGTGCTGAGGATGTAGCGCGTGGTGTGGCATTTATTGATGATGAACGTTCCATTAGATATGCAGCTAATGCAATCGGAGTTACATATGAAACTTTACGAGACGCCGTCAGACGTTTTCGGGAAACTGGTTCTTACAATAGAAGGCTCGGTTCTGGACGGCCTAGGGTAACAGAACCACGGGATGACCGGTTTTTGACTTTGAGAATTTTACGAAACCGGCACCTTACCGTTGTTCAAGCGATTCATCAGCTCGAAGAAGATTAAATGGGTATGGATTAATGGCTTTTCGTCCAGTAAGAGGACCAGAATTAACCAGAACTCACAGAGTAACACGGCTCGCTTTTGCTCGAAAACACAGCTATTGGACTATGGATGAATGGAGTGCTGTTCTTTTTACAGATGAGTCAAGATTCGCTCTTCGATCTCCAAACGGGCGTGAAAGGGTTTGGAGAAGAAGAAACGAAAAATATGCAGCCTGTAATTTTTCCCAGAGCTAACCTTTCCAACATGGTTTCTTAATGGTTGTGACTGGGATTTCAATGGAGCGCCGCACAGAATTGGTTGTTGTTCGTGGAGGGTCTTTGACGGCCATTCGCTATGTAGATGAGATTTTGGAACCTCATGTGTTGCCTATCGTCAACGAAACCGGCGATCGTTCTATTCTAATGCACGATAATGCACGCCCATATGTCGCATAGTGCAGGCGTTCCTTTAACAGAACAATATTGAGGTTTTAGCCTGGCCAGCACGTTCTCCAGATTTGAACCCCATTGAGCATTTATGGGATAACCTCGGAAGACGAATAAGAGCGCGTGCAACACTTCCTGATACAGTGCATGACCTTGAAAGGGCTCTTCGGGAGGAATGGGCTATCCTCCAGCAAAGAGACATTTCCCGACTGGTGGAAAGTATGCCGAGGCGTCTTCAAGAAGTAGTGAAGGCAAAAAGAGGAAACACGAGCTACTAAACGATGATGTAATTGATTTCTTTTAGAATAATAATGGTTCGTTTTTCAATTTCTTTTTCTCTAATCTTTCTTACCCAATCACATTTTGATTATTAAAGGTAAAAAAGATTATAAAATTCCATAAATACTAAGTATTATCTACAAATACCATGTATTATATACAAATACAACTTTTTTTACAAGTGGCAGAAATATTTTTAGATGAAAACATGAAAAAATGAAGTGGGTGGAATTTTTTGCCTGTCAGTGTATATAGCTAATATTGCTCTAATTTTTGTTTGTTTTTTCTAAAGTAGAGAATTTTATGTTTTAAATGTATAGTTTTCGAGTTATGTGCAAATATATTTTTCCTCTGGATGTAGCATACATAAAAATTAGATGGCTTTATGATGAAAACTTCAGATAAGTTTCATTAAAATCGTCAGAACCATTATGTCATTACAATTTATAGAAAAATTCGCTTTGGCGGTATATATATTAAATTTATAGAAAACACAATTTTCGGTTATTGCGCACGAGCGCTGACTTCAGTACAAAGACATTGGTAACCTAAACTCTAAAACCTAGATTTGAAAAGCAGTAAAATCGATTCTCCCACTCAACAGATTTTTTTTCGTTAGATATCAAATTTATTTAAATTAAAAACAAAATTTAATTAACATTTAAAAAAAAATATTTTACTTTTTTATTTAAATTTATTATTTATGGCTTTCATTTAATGCAAAAGCTGAAAACTTTTTATTATTAAAGACCGCGTTTAGGCTAGGGAGTGATAAATGATGTCACATTTTGTTTGGCTGCTATATTTTTATTATTTCAATGTCGGCGTTTATATCTATGCTTTATTCGTTTAAGCATAGATATAAATTTTGATTTTCTTATTGTCGTAATCTATATAATTAAATATTAATTAATATTTCAGATTATACTGATGAAAGACTTACATAAACTCACGGATGCCGCACGTTCCTACCTATGGTTTAATGTATTCAAAATACTATAGGTATGTTTTCTAACGTCACAAATGACAGAAATATGGAACAATTAAATTTCTAATTGAATTCTTCAGAATAAACGAATGCCCTTCTTAATATAGTTATATGGGCGTTTGTAAACCGATGGGTAATAAGAAAAACGTTAATTAGCTCATAATCAATTCTAATGCTATTTCAAAAACGACAATAGTTAATGATGTTTATATTAAAATACTGCATATTATTTATATTATTTGTATTAAAATTAAAAATAGGTATTCAATTTGCTATAATAAATAAACTAACATCAACCAACATAAATAGTTGTTAGTTATATATTATTTTTTATTAATGAACTATTTACCTGTGTTAAATTAAACCAACTATCTGACGTGATTTCTCCACCAGAGAAGTAGTAATCTCGGAGCTTTTTGGTTACTTTTTTTGGATTAGAAGCTATTTCAGAGTATTTCAAGGACAGAGGTCCCAACTTCTCAAAGTTGTCAGTGAACCACTTGAAGTCGAGTTTATAGTAGTTGAAATCTGTTATGAAGTTAAAACAATAATAATAATTAGAAATGTCTAGATGTAATATAAAGTCAAGAAGTTAGATACCAGGTTTCTCATTTCAATCACTATCGGATACTCACATCCAGTTCTGAGAAGTCCTTCCCCTGAGGTTGTCCCCAGTATCAGGGGCACAGGATTATGTTGCCAATTGCTCACCGGTCCAACCAAAAAGGCATCTGGGCCTGGAGGCTCCAAGCATGGCCATATGATGCCTGTGTCTATTTGCCAAGCCTGTTATGATTTCATAAATTATATTTGAGACCTTATTTATCATCTTCTGATGATTTTAAATTATACGAAAATGTAAAAATGTAAATTAGCCAGGAGTCCAGTCCAATAAAGTACTTTTTTTTTTTTAAATCTGTTTATTGAATAATAATACAATCAGCCACTGCTGGAGGGCTATAAGCATTAGGGCTAAAAGTTCTCATTCATACAATATATACAAATAATAAAGAAATAAATATAAATATAAGAAGTAAATAAATAATACTGATGAAGAAGTTAAATAAAAAGAAAAAAAAATAAAATAAAATAAAAACTTCTAAACACAATCATAACTATATACATTCGCCCAAGAATCTCCGAGCCAGGCTTTTTTTTAAGGCTTTCCGAGGCCCCCAGACGTGGAAGGCAAAGCAAGACTCCAGAAGATCCCAGTGCCACATTTCCAGCCGCATCACTAGTATTAGAAGCCAGTGGAGACTGAAAGAGGGCACTGGAGCCACAGACGCTCAGGACATGATTGGAGAAGCTGGCCATTGCCAGGATTCCAAAGGCATATTTACAAAAGATCTCGAGGCCACTGCCGTTTCAACCTTCGAGGGGTATGGTATGGATGCTCGGAGCTGGATAGGAATTGCGCTAAAGGATTGGGAATAAAAATAAAATAAAGTACTGTAGTTTTTAAATAACCCAAAATAAAAGAGGAGACCTGATCAAAAATCAGTTTTCTTTCTATTTCTGTGTTATAACTGCAGTGCATTAAATAAATCAACACCTTGGGACGAAACAGGCGGAGAAATATTATCAGGATCTTATTAATCAAGTGTTAAGAGTTTATAGTGATAGGACATTTAGGAGTTTATAGTGATAGGACATTGGCCCTTTGAACAATCAATATAAACCCTACCCTAATTTTTTTTCCCTGTTTACTTCACGCAAGTTTTATATTTTTTGACATTGGACCATTTTGTTCCAAAGTATAGGGATAGATTTTTTTACTCTCCAATATATATTATGGATTTTCAAATTAAACATTTTAAAACACTTCATCAACTCGAGTTATCATTACAAAAATTTAATAGTTTCCTGATTGACACATTGGATGGATCATTCTAATATATCATTACGTTCTTCATGACTCAAAAAGTATCCCTCTATACTTCACGAAAATGTAATCACCAAGAATTCTTTAGTTAAAAAAAAGGAAACGGCATTTTTCAAAATTGCTTTTTGGAAAGGACAGAATTTCAAATTCGGATCATTTTTTTGAGATATCAGAAAATATTGTCAATAACGATTTCTACAAAGCCACATTAGTACATAATAAAGCTGTGTGAAGATTAAACCTTGTTCCTCCAAAAGAAAAGTAAGAGAATAAAATATATATGTATTTATTTTGAAATGTTTAATCAAATCATAACTCAGAACGGTTGCAGTTAAACCTCACCTTGAAAGCCTCAAGACCGGAAACTATATCTGCTCCATTCTTCTTTACGAGACAGGACACAGCTTCATTTGTAGTCATAGCAGGGCATCCAAGATTCTTGGCTAACCTCTTTGCTATAGCCTTCGAATGACCTGGAGGAGCTATACCCCAAGGGTCGTAACTAGTACCACTTTCTGCTATTCCGCGATGGAACAGTCCTGCAACAAAGTTTAATTAAATTTGAGATATAAGAACAAATAGAAGTGTTATAGTTCTTTATTTCGAAGCGGTCATGAATATTGACTGTCCCTCCATTAAAGCAGTAGCCTTTAAGAAGCCATTGGAGGTTGATGAAAAGGTCCAAGAGTTCCATTTACCAGAATAGTTCTGCTCAAATATGAAAAAAAAAACTGGAACTACTGGATCGACTCCAACTTTCGTACCTTGGCTCATCGAAGATACGGTATGATGGTAGACACTCCCTGCTCCAGCACTCTCACCAACTATAGTCACTTTGTTCGGGTCACCTCCAAACTTAGCAATGTTCTTCTGAACCCATTTCATTGCCATCACTTGATCTTTAAGTCCTTGATTACCTGGCATCTCTTTGTCTTCAAAGCTTAAGAAACCTGAGCACAAAAGAACAGAATCAGTCGAATTATTTATTTTTCTAATGTAATATTCGCTTATTAAAGGAAGAAAAAAATACATTCACCTAGAAACCCTAACCTATAATTGAGATCCACAATCACAACATCTTCGTCCATCATGTAATTAGGCTGAGACCTCCTTGGTCCGGTACCGCTGAAGAATCCTCCGCCATGGAAGTGTATGATCACAGCATTCTTGCTGGTTATCTGTAAGGATAGATTTGTACTTTGTAATATTTTTCTTATAATAACTAATAGTTTCTTATCACTTCGTCTAAAAGTACTCACACTATGAGTGTATACCGAGAGGTAAAGACAATTTTCTTCCCCAAGAACTTTCGGGTTTATTTCATAGGTATTGTACTGAAGACACCAAGGACCTGGGTCTGTTGCATTTCTTATGTTGCTCCAACTTTTCATTTCAACTGGAGGCTGAAAAAGCATTTTATATGTATATATATTATATGTAAATGATAGCTAACGGGTGAAGGAATTACTAGGATACCTTGAACCTGAGATTCCCGACGGGTGGTAAAGCATAAGGTATTTTTAAAAACGACAAAAATTTTCGACCTCCTCTGGAAGTATTCCAATGACCACCCACTTTTCCCGCCGCAGTATGAACCACAACCTGTTCTTCAGCGAGGGTATAAACCGCAAACAGCAGAGCAAAAGTCGTCTGCAGAATCATTATGGTAGATCTAAAAAATACAAATTAGCTGCAATTATCCAAATTACACTAATGAAAGAATAATGCAAATTAAAAACAAGGAGTTGAACCCTGTTTCGCATCAGAAATAATCCATATAAAGCGGCTTTTAATAAAAAAATAACACAAACAAAATAAGGATATGAGGAGATATCTGTTTTCTTCGATAGCTTCCAACCCTGAGCAGATTTGTTTTAGAACTAATTGATGTCGGCATGACAGATATCCCCGCCCCTTTCACCCGTTCGTATCTCCAAAAACAACCGTTGCTTTTTAGTTAAAACTAAGCGCAGATAATTATTAATATATATGTGTATATAGATAGATAGATAGATAGAAAAAAAACTTTATTCTGGGACTAAGTCCCTTCAGAATAACAATAATGTACAAAATAATAGAATATTACTGGCCTGAACGTTGAAACAATAAATAAAATTGATAAAATAGAATAAAAAGTAAAGAAAATCTTATGTGCACAAGCTATATACAAACAGATAAAACTATGCACAGAGCATTTAAAATTATGAACAAAACAATTAAAACTATGAACGAATCACTTGAACTATGAACAAAATTATATTTAAGGGTTGAACAACATAAACATACACTTTGAGAAATGAAGAACGAAAAAGAGATACAATGAGTTCATTTCATAAAAAAAAAAAAAAAACTTTACTTGAATATATATATAAAAATAAACAGTTACTTATAATTGAATAAAAAAAATATATATAAAAAAAATGTATGTATTGAAATTCCTACGTCGATAGTAGGAAATGCATGTACTATCTATTACCAAGTGTTATGATTATATGATTGCTACTCAATACATATATAATATCAATAGTTAGTTGGTATCAGACTGTTTTTGGAACAGGAATTGGAATAGGAGGTTTTTGAATGTATACAGGGAAGGGGCATGTCGAATTTTGAGAATATATATACATACAAGTATATGTATATATATATATATATATATATATATATATATATATATACATATATGTACGAATGTGACAATTACAGAGGCAAAGCACTTCTTTCGGTTGCCTATAAAATGATGATTAATATTCTGCTAAATCGGATATATCCTTATTATGAAAAATTAATAGGCGACCATCAAACAGAATTCAAGAGAGAAAGGAGTAAGCTAGTTCAGATATTCATCCTAAAATATGTATTTGAAAAACGATAGGAAGTAAGTAGATCAGAAGTTGCACATTTTATTTGTCGACTTCAAAGCAGTCAATGACTCCGTGGACAGAAACTGGCTCTAGAAGATCATGACTGAGCTGGCTGGGGGCGGGGTGGCCGAATGGGCTAAAGCATGTGCACTGCACCGCGAGTTGCCTGGCAACCGGATAAGCGATTTAAGAAGATTAAAAAATTATGAGTTCGCGTACTCGCTTTGGCGGTACATATACTATAATTGGAACGATACAGAGAAGATTAGCATGGCCCTGCGCAAGGATGACACGCAAAATCGTGAAGCGTTCCACATTTATGCGGCGAGGTGGCCGAATGGGCTAAAGCGTGTGCACAACACCGCGAGTTGCCAGGCAACTGGAGAACAAGATTTGAGATGATTTAAAAAGTACGAGTTCGCGTCCCGGTGCCGGAGTGGATTTTAAATTCCCCGCCCTCGCCCTCCGGCCCGGGAAAATCCTGTATGGCCTAAAAGGCGAGGTAGGGAAGAACAAAAAAAAAAAGTATGAGTTCGCATCCCGGTGCCGGAGGAGATTTTAAATTCCCCGCCCTCACCCTCCGGCCCAGGAAAATCCCGTATAGCCTAAAAGGCGAGGTAGGGAAGAACAAAAAAAAAAAAAATGACTGAGCTGGCTGTTCCCGGGAAGTTAGTGAGGCTGACGAAGGCCTATTCAAATAATCCTAAATGCAGGTACTAATACAAGGAGAAGTATCGGAAGCCATTGAAGTTCGAACGGGTTTAAGGTAGGAAGATGGACTCTTGGCGATGCTATTCAACTTAGCCCTAGAGAAAGTAATAAGAACAACATTACGCGAAGATGGAGCGGTGCACGTCGGAATGAAACACAAAATCCTAGCATGTGCGGATGATATAGCTGTCCTCGGAAGCAATCAAGAAGATATTAAGAGACTCCCTCGGGCTCTGTTAAAATAAGCAGAACAAATCGGACTACAAGTTAATGTAGGTAAAACAAAATAAATGATAGTTAACATGACCTGCGTGGACTCTTATATAGTCATTCCCGAAAGTAGAAACCTCGGCTTCCCATAACCTCAATAAATGATCAACTAACAGAGATAGACCAGCTAATAACAAGTGCGAACAGATCTTTCTTCTCTCTTTCAAAGGTACTGAAATCCAGAAATATCTCCAGAAATCTAAAAATAACGGTGGACCACGCCGTGATTAAGCCAGTTCTGCTGTACGGTTGTGAAACCTGGGAATTGAGAGATTGGAAAGAAAAGTTCTCCGTAAGATAACAGGACCTATATGGGACCAGAATCTTGACACGTGGAGGAGAAGGGACAATAAACAACTGCTGAAAGAAACGGGTCAGTCAATATATCATGGCATGAAGCCAAGGAGGTTAAGATAGGCGTGGCATGTAGCAAAGATAGCTCGTAGCAATAGGATATGTAAGGACGCCTTACAAGTTCAGAAAGCTAATTTCAAATGTTTTTATTTATAGTACTAAATCTTTTGCTCGTAAAGTATATAATACTTTTTCGATTCTTTAAGGCGAATAAATTAGTTAGAAATTACGTCTTTTAATGAATATAAAAATGATTACCTGCCTTATGATTGGAACCTACACCGATATTCTGAAGTTAGGTCTAGATGTAGCCCATCAAAATAGATAAGAAACAACCAAAAATATTCTAGAGAAAAAATAGCAATTTTCCAGTGTTGTTCACCTTGTGAATCCTGGACTACTGAGAATCACAACCTCAACTGGCCGTTGATATAGTTGCCAGAGGAACAAGGAAATCCCCACTCACTTTCCTCGTTTCATTTCTTCGAAGTTAATACTTTTTATACATTAAGATTATGAGTTCGTCACATTTGTCAACAATTATATAAATAACAACATAGAAAGGTGAGTTTTGTTTTGTCCGAAACTATAACAAAAAATGCTTATTTTTGTCATATTCAAATTTTATTAGAGCATATAAAAGGGATATATATATATATATATATATATATATATATAAATATATATATATATATATATATATATACATATATAATATAATTATAATCAGGCCCATCGAAAGCGATGGAGACCTGGGGGCTTCGACACCACTGCGGGATACCGGAGACGGCTGAGCACGTCATTGTCAACTGTACCGCCTTTGATGGACTTGAGACCAAAACGATAAAAAAAAAAAAACAAAAAAAAAACATACAACTTTCACTTACCGCTCAACTTAGAACAGAAATTATTTTCTGGCCATGTTGGGTTATTATAAAAATGTTTAATTGCATTATTAACTGAGCTAAAGCTAAAGAATTACAGCTTCAGTATAAGCATTGGAAGAGATAAGACTCTGGTTGCTCGCAGATAAGAATATATACATTTCTTTCTCTTATATTTTTTCATAATTTTTCACTTATTATTTTTAATTACGATAAGGTTATATTAATTTTTTTATAAAATATAAGGATATATTTATATTACTTCATTTCATCTATTTTTTTTCTTTATTACTTGATATTTTAAATACTTATATTACGTTTTATTTTATCCTTCTATGGGGAATCCTATAGATTTAAATTCCCCAAAGGCTAAACGAAAACGACCTCGGGGTCGCCTTAAATTTTAAGCAGAAAATACGAATGGTGCGATCCCAATTAGCCCATCCTTTTTAACACTAGAAAGATCAGATGATCAAAATTTTCAAAAAGTATCTCTATTCTTAATAAATAAGTTTCTTTCAGGTTTGGTGGAGACTTAAAAAAATGTAAAAAAGCTAAGAAATGGCACATTACTTATTGAAACCAAAAACAGTAAACAATCGGAAGAATTATAAAAATGTAAAAATTTTGGTGGACAATTTCCGGTTGAGGTGTCCCCCCACAATACCTTAAATTACAGTAAAGGAGTGATTCGATGTTACGACCTCAAATTTCTAGAGATAGATGAAATTAAAGAAGAATTATCCAACGATAAATGATATAATACGTATTAAAATAAAAAAGAATGGAAATGAAATATTGAAAAATGCTTATATCGTCGCATTTCCTACACCGAGAATTCCGGAAACAATAAACATAGGATTCCATACGGTCAAGGTACAGAATTATATCCCTAATCCTCTACGCTGCTCTAACTGCTTATCTTTCGGTCACCTCTCGAACGTTTGTAAACAACAAAGCAGATGTATAAAATGTGGGGAAGCAAAACACGAAGATAATGTGAGATGTACACGCTCAGCCCACTGTGCAAACTGCCCTAAATCACAACTCGTTAGATCGTCGATGTCCTATTTTTATAATACAGAAAAGAAATAAAAACCATCCAAACCATAAATAAAATATGCTTAAATGAAGCAAAAAAAATGTATAAAGAACAGAATCCAACTCAGTTTGCTAGATCGTTTGCTGAAATTACAAAACAAAATTCAAACAATTTCGAAAAGAAAGACATAGGTATTCAAATAAATTCATTATTTAATTTTGGAGAAAATATCTATAATACCACTTATACAGCTAACACTATACATACCCATCAACAAATCCTATCCACTCCCTATCTCCTCCCCCTATCCCTCTTCCCAACACTCATCTGGTCCCAACTTCGGGCTCCTCCCATTCCCCACCTCCGGCCGTCCCCCTGTCCCCGCTACCGGCCACCCCCCTTTCTTCCGCCGCCAGCCGCCTCACTAGCGGCCCCGAAGCCTCACCGTAAGTCCAGATCAAATTCTAGGAGTCGGGAAGATCCTCTACCTTCTCTTTTTTCTCAAGACGTGTGTCCTTCAAAATCTTCAGAAGCCGTATGTATTACTGTATGTATGTCTATATGTACAAATATGAATATCTGTGCGGATATATATGTAGTTCTACATACTTTCTTCGGTATATACATTTGTATCTTTGCACATATTTGTGGGTGTATAATGTCAAGCACACATTGTATGTGTGTGGGTATGTATGTGTGCGCCCGCGCGTATCTGTATATGTGTGAATGTATGTTTGTATATATTATATATTGTACGTGTTTATATATATAT